TTTCAGCTCAGGTCATGATCTTACAGTTTGTGAGTTCCAGCCCCACATCAGGCTCTGTGCTGGCAATGAAGAACATGCTTGGGATCTTCTCTCTCCCTCTCTCTGCCCCTCCCCTGCTTTCTCTCTCTCTCTCTCTCTCTCTCTCTCTCTCTCAAAATAAATAAACTTAGAAAAAAAAATTTTTCAGAAAAAGCAAAGAGTTTGTCAGGTTATTCAGAAGGGTGATCTCTTTGTCTGCCCCGCGGGTTATAACATTTTCTGGATGAGAGCAGGCAAAACAAAACCCCGGGAAGACTGATTCCAGATTTGCAAGCAGGGGAGCTCTCCACAGTAAACACTTGATTTTGACCTTAACTTCACCTTGAGCTGGGTTTACAAGAATGTGGGGATGTGTCTATCTCTTTAAGAAATCTATTTTGGCGGGGCGCCTGGGTGTCTCAGTTGGTCGAGTGTCCGACTTCGGCTCAGGCCGCGATCTCACGGGTCATGAGTTCGAGCCCCGCGTCGGCTCCGTGCTGACAGCTCAGAGCCCGGAGCCTGCTTCCGGGTCTGTGTCTCCCTCTCTCTCTCTGCCCCTCCCCTGCTCACATTCTTTCTCTATCAAAAATAAATAAACATTAAAAAAAACAAAAAGAAAGAAATCTATTTTGGCGTCTCTGCCCTTCCATCCTACGGAGAGGCACACGCCCGTTTCTGTGGTACTTCGTCCAGGTTTCCTCCCATTTGTAGGCGAGAGTGAGCTCTGTTTTGTGGTCTCTGACCGCAGAAAAAGTTGTGGCTCACTTCCTCTGAGGTTTGGGTCCCAGCAACCACGGGAACCACTTAAGGAGCAGGCCTGTCTCAAGTCCTCCGGCTGCACGCGGCTTCCGTGCAACCCGCCTGTCACCTACCTCCCGTTCCCTGTGGTTCGGTGTTATCTGTTCTGCACGCTTTCGAATTTGCTTATTTTTCTAATCTCTTCTCCACTCCTTTGGTAACACTACTCTTTATCTTGTGGTTTTCATCTTTATTACTCACATTTCCTCACAACGAGCATTCATTAAAATATTTTAAATTAAGACCTTTACCGCCTTTCTAACTGAGCACGTCGGGTCTACCCGTACGACACATTTTTAATTCTTATCACAGAATTTCAGGCAGTTTGTACATTATATTCTATTAAAAACTCTATTCCACCCAAGGTTGTCACAATGCGGAGATTACAGCTTTCTGACGGATGTTTTGTTAGGGATATATTCATATATTCACTCTGTTAGCCAGCAAACACGGTCCGTGAGCTGGTATTTCACACCTCGTTTGACATCGCGATTCAACAGCAAAGTACAAAGGGAAGCAATTATTTATTTAGATTATGGAATGAATTTCGGAGGGATATTAGATAAGTATAGATTGTCATGCCAAAGCATTAATCCCTGCCCTTCTCACAGCCTGGGGGGAGGTCACACACTGGGGTCAAGGAGAAGGGGGACACCGGAACAGGGAGAGCGCCTCATAATCCTGTAACTCTGCTCAGGTAACGACTTTTTCTCTCCTGTAACTTTTTTTTATCTCCAAAGAAAATGCAGAACTGATTCTCACAAAGCCAACAGTGATAACCACAGCCTATGCTTTTTCTTCAGTTTGAAACATCACCACTTGATCAGCCAAATATTTCAACAAAATCAATTTCCTACCCATGGACCATGGATCCCGCCCTCACACAGTCAGTTCCGACTCAGGACGGCTTGACTTAGTTTCGCTTTATGGTGGTGCGAAAGCAATACACCTCCAGTAGGAATTGTACTTGGAATCTTGAGTCTGGATCCTGTCCCGGACCAGCGACCTGCGGCCCCACCCTCTCCCGCGATGCTGGGCAGAGGCCGCAGCTCCCAATCAGCCACGCGGTCAGGAGGGTCGACAGGCAGTACACGGACAGCCACCTGCACCCACACGGCTGTCCCGTTTGTCACTTTCAGTACAGGATTCAGTCAACAGCATGCAATAGTCAACACCTCATTATAAAATGGGCTTTGTGGTGGACGACTGTGCCCAACCGGAGGCTCACGTCCGTGTTCTGAGCACGTCTAAAGCGGGCCAGGCTAAGCTATGCTGTTTGCTGGGTTAGATGGTTAAATGCATTGTTGACTTACGATATCAACTTACAATGGGTTTATAGGGAGGTTACCTCATCATGAGCCAAGGAAGATCTATACCCAAGACGTTCACCACCCACATGATGATTCCGGAGGCTATAAGTCCAGGCAGCCCATCCAGGCCCCTCCAGCGCAGCAGGACTGAGGTAACTGCAAGGTCCCCTCTTGTTTCTCCTCTCCCCGCAGCATCCATCCCCCAGAACCTCTCTCATCCTCTAAACCTATGTTGTTCAGGCGGGCTGGCCACAGTGATGGGTTCTGGTGGGTCTGTGACACAAGACAAGCGAAACAGAGCCAGTGGACCAGACAGGGAAGAACGGTGTCCTCCCCGAAGTGACCACAATGGCAGGAGAGACACTGGGAGCTGCTGGTGGCCAACTCGCCACCAGGAGGGAAGATCCTGCTGGAGACGATGCCAACCCAGAGGAGAGACAGGAGACAGGCTGCTAAGGACGCTGCTTGGCACCTGCACCCTGACATCCCTGGTCCCCGCCCCCCTGCATGTCTCCATCCACAAGAGGAGCCCGAGTCCCCTTTTTGCTTGAGTTTCATCGGCACAGCACCGAGCGGCAGCCACTGGACAAAGCCACCTGACCGACGCCACGGCAACCCAGAGGGAGCCCGGGCCCCAGCAAAGCCACAACCCTCGGCAGGGACCACGCTGAAGAGAGTGGAACACTGCTAGCTGACCACCATCGCCCCACCCTTCTTCCTTTACAGCAAAGACCACCTCCCACTACGGCTCCCGGAAACAGTGCCAGGCGTTC